GTGTGTGTGTGTGTGTGTGTGTGTGTGTGTGTGTGTGTGTATTCAAATGTATTAAATATATATATTTATTTACATTTGTCTTGATGACTCATGTTGCTTAAGGCTAAATATTTGAGGCATTACTTATCACATGAAAATCAGTTTGATGGATTTAGTAACAGTGTTTAATAAAAATATTTAGGCATTATGGCTAGAGCTTGTGAGTGCTCCAGTAAGATGAATGAAATAAAAACAATTTAGGAAAAGCAAGTTTATTCAGTTGACACTATTCTGCTTGTAAAAGGACAGAACAGCTAGGAAAGGGAATGCATTTAGGATTTTTTATGTGGCAATTAAACATGGTTAGGGGGCTGTGTAAATTAACATGTTTTTAACTGCATTTATGGTCATCTTAATCTGATATGGCTGACTTAATTTCATAGTCATTTGAGGATAGTTAATTCTACTTTATTGTTGCTTACCAGGAAATTATGCTTCCTGCTGTGTGGTGAGGTTTTGTAAATGAATTTAAAGAAAATTGTTATTGTAGGAAAAAAATCATTGTTTAAGCACCATCTAAAGTTGTTGCCTCTAAGGGATCATTGCTGTGTGGTATTTAAAAAAAGGTTTTAAAATGTCTTTTATATCTTGACAGTGTGACTAAAGAGACACAATTGTGTATATTTAATGAAAAGAACAAACAAAAAAGCCAATACCATTCCTAGAAATGTTTAGTGATTAATCCCTTGACTAGAAGACTTCATAGTTGTGAAGTAAGTTGTTCCAGTTGATAATTCTCTTCTTGTACTTAAATAAATGCTCCTAAAATCCTCCTTATAGAATGCCTATAGTAATGCTTATATGCCTCATTTAATATTTTAGCCAAGAGTTTTATTCCAACTATTCTATGAAATCGTTGAAAGATCATTATTTTTCTTTTTTGAGATGAAGATGAATGCATTTCTATGCATATTTGTTATTTTCTTATTGTGACAAAAGACTTGAAGAAAGCAACATCTGGAAGGGAGTGTTCACTGTGGCTCGCCGTGTAATGATACAGTCTGTCATGGAAGATGGTCTGGTCTGAGTTCTGCTACCTGCACTAGCATGAGGATGATATAGCTGTGACACTGCATCTTCAGTCAGGAAGGAGAGAGATGGAAGTTGCTCTTCTGCTAGCTTTCTTCTTTGGGTCCAGGAGTCTAGCTTTTGGGATGATGCAACCCTCATTCAGGTTGGGTATTCTGTCTCAATTAGGTGTTTCTGGAAATATTTACAGATTTTCCCAGGAGTTTGTTTCTTAGGTGATTTTAAATGTAATCAAGTTGACAAAATTATCTATCACAGATACAAATATGTAATAGGCCTGCCTTTTCTCAGCAGCTTTGAGTTGGTCAAATATTATGTGTTCCCTGTGTCATAACTTCTGCATTCTCTGTTTTATAATCATTTTTTTGTTAGTATACCTGTCTACATCATTGCCACCTTTGTATTTTATGCATAAGATATTTTAAAATAACAATTTCACCCCATATCGTGGCAAGCATTAATATTCCAGTTGAGTTTATGCTTCTGGTGTTTGTGCAACGATTTTAAAGTGTGACTGATGGCTAGAATTGATGTTTTTACTCATATATCTCAGTATTATGGATATTCTGGTGTTCTTAATGGGACATAGGTTGATATCAAAAGCTATTTTTAAAAATGGTACAGAAAAAGGAAATATAATATTCCCTGTCAAGTGCCATTGCCTTGAAGTAAAACTGATGTTCAAGTCAACAAATGTCATTTCAATGAGCAGTTGTAATTCAATCAGATCCAATTTTCTATTAATAAATCAAACAAGAGGTATTGAGGCTCTATCTAGCAGCTGTCCTGAAACATATAGACAAAAAGTCTAGAGTGATAGACATTCAATACATGGCACAGGCACATAAAATTGAGATGGATAATATGCCTGGTATACTCCTTTGGATTGCATGGTTTGCAATTTAACACAATAATGAGGCAATTAGATCCATTAAAGGAAGTGGGTGGTTTTTCTCTCTTTAGTCTATGTTACTATAGCCACTCCTTTAACAATTTTTCTCTTAACACTCATTTGAAATTTTATTGGGTCAAACTGTAAAGATTTTTGTCAAGAATAAGCATAGAACTTGATGATACAATGATGCTGGTGATTAATTGGTCCAGTTTTCATTTCTCATATTAAATCGGGAGTTGTCTGCAGTACAGTAATGCAGGGGAGAGTAGCTACCTGTTCTTGTGTTGGAGGAGATCACAGATACCATTTCCCTGGTGCATTGAATTGAGGAAACATGTATTGCGTTTCTAGTTTTACATCAAAATCAATGGCAGCTTGTGGCTAGAAGTTTTAGGATTATGATTTCCTCATCAATTCTGGTTACACTTTCATCTCTTACAATGTAATAGTTGGCCACTAACCTAATAATATTAAATATAATGATTCGGAATTCACAGTTCATTTTTCACATTATCCTCAAAAATTACAGTGTTCATTGTTCTGGTCTAAGCAAATGGAGACTGCTTGAGGATCTTAGGGTGGTGTGGACTCAGGCACAATTAAAAATAGATCAAAAGGATGCCATGCAAAAGTCTCTGTGGTGATTATAAAGTCAGTGGTTTGAATTTTTGATTCTGAGAAAAATTATTATATTAAAACCTGCTTTTGTATACTGAAACTACTCTGTTGAAAAGAAATAAAATACTGTTGTTACTAAGGCTAATTGTGTAAGATTTCAAAAATTAGTAAACTCCTTGTATTCCCTCTGTTGATGAAGGACTGCTATCGTCTACCCTCTTAGAAAACTAAGATGACCCTTGCATTGAAGGGATTCATAGCCTTATGACTTTTGTTAACATAATACATTACTAATTATAGAAGATAGGTTGGATTAATATGGATATGCATGCACATTTAATGTTCTATAGTTTATTAAATGTCATAGTAATGTATTGTCTTGCCTATTAAGTAGATTATGTCAACATAGGATAAATATTGTCTTGAGCTCCTGTGGATGAGATGTGAGTTGTGGTTTTGGTTGGTGAAACAGAGGTTATGAATTTTGTGTTCGAAAAGAGACATTCTTTTTGGCTTACACATCAAGAAGGTTGTAACAAAAGAAGACAGAGGAGGTTGAGGCAGAAGGATGCCTTCAGGTTGGCTAGTAGAGAGCTGGTAGAATCCAGTGTTTCCTGGCCTTTGTTTTCCTCCATAACTTCCCGTAGCCATATGGAGTGCCCTCTCTTTCCTTCAGCCAGTAACTCCATCCTGGTGTCCTCTCAGGACCATGGTTCTTCTTCTGCAGTTAAATAATAATACCTGATATTCCAGCATCTACATAATTATGGCTCTTATGACTCCATAAAAATCAAGAAATAATTGTGTGGATGACTCAAGTTTAGAGGAAAAAAAATCCCTCAACATTAGCAGTTGAAATTTAAAAAGCAAGTCACCTGAGTAAATTAATTAATAGCATTTGCCGAAGTCTAGTCCAACACTCTAAACTGCTGTGACTTTCATGAAAAATTCATAGAGGCTGAAAATTATATTTCATTCATTTTGATTACCTTCTCAATACCTAAAAGCAGCAGCCTAACATAAGTGCTTATATATGTCAGATGATTTACTGTTATTAATATTAGCAATAAATTTTATTTAATTTGTTGTTTCACCAAAAATTTCGAGGAAAGTAGAATTGAAATAAAAAATTCTGTGTTCTGCCACAGTGTGCCCTCTGGAAGGTCTTCTGCTCTGGTCATGTGCTGTAACATTGCATATCCTTGTTTCCTCATAGAAAATGATGAAAATCTCCAGTAAACTCTATCTGGAAATGAAAGCCTCTGATGTGTTTGGCATGTATTCCCTAGCTTATAAAGTATTAACCAGTACACACAGAACTCAGTCTACTAAGGAAAGAAATAGACTTGAAAGAAGATTTGATGAAGAATATATTCTTTTGAATTTCGTTCTAGGAATTTCCTTATGACTTTGAGGTAGGCACAGAGAAAGATAGTAGAGGAAGTTCTTTGCTTTTAGTCAACAAAATGCTTGGAGGTCAACATCAAGGAGGATGTAATAGAAATGCTTCATTTTCTCTAAGTAGACCAGGGGAAGACCTATGAGTTAATTGCTATCTTCCTAGTTTCAGAAGACCATCATGGATATCGAGACCTATAAATGCTACCAGTATTGTTATTGAAGAATATTTTTCAAAATTCCTTGGGGTCCAGTTTGACGCAGGCCAGGCATTTCCGCTTTCTCTGGGGAAGAGAACATGAGCCTCAGGATGGAGACTACCCTTCTGGCCGGTCTTTTTTTTTTTTTTTTTTTTTAGTTAAAAATTGTACTTTACATGTTGATCACATAGAATATAAAGGTTCAATTTATATATTAAATATGGTTTAGATGTAACAGCTGTTCACATCGCTTGCTGGATTCTCTCCCACTGTGGCCAGATTTCTCCTGAAATCTTCAAGGGCAGAGGTTAGATTACAAGCTCCTGAGTCAATCTGGCTTTAATTCTTTACTTTATTAGTGCCAGTATATCCTTCTAGCTGGTGCTTTCTATTTTGTAATCCCCAGGAATCTAATTTACTAGGCAGTGCTGGTAATTTTTCTTCCATAGGAATTAGCTTAATAAGACATCCAATGGCCTTTTACATATGTAATTGTGTTTGGCTTTAGTCTGCATTACTGACGTGTCTATAGCAGCAAGAGAACAGTGGTAACTGAAACGACATAAAATGTCTTGCAGTAGATAGTACAGTAAAATACATTACAGGTATTTAATCTGGACAGGAAAACCGAGACTAATATTTCTGGGGATCCAGAAGTTGAATTTGATGGATTCTGCTACTGTGGGAGCATGTGATCTATTTGGTCTAATGGGAGGAGGTAAAATTTTCCTCAATTTGGAGACTCCTCCAACTGTGTTGTTTGTTGTAAACAGCATTCCAGTAGAGGCCTGTTGCCCACAGCCATGGTTTTGGGTTGGGATGTTAATGCTTTAAATAGAGTTAGTACCACTATCCAGAGCTAAATTACCTCATCTCCATGGCGTCTCCTCGCATGTTCTACAAGTCAACTCAGGGTTTGCAAGTTATTTTCTGTCATATTCCACCTGGGCCATTTACAGATCACAGTTTCTGTGGTAACTGATTCCTGTAATATGTTGCCATTCTGAAATAATCAAATACCATGCATTATTTCTCCCTCTGTAGTACTTGCTGTCTTTTATTCTTCCCCAAAGTGTTAAATCTGGCCTTTAGGAATCAACATCCTGTAAACCCCAGGAGACAGTGTAATGTGTCTGCAACATGGGGCTTATTGCAAACAGCTGCTATTGTAGAACACCGGCTAGCAAATTGTGCCTCAGGTGACCAACATAAAAGGAGCCGAGTGCATTGTGCTTCCTAATGAAGTACAACTGGAACGAGTTGCCAGCAGAGTCCGTCTACTGTGCTGTTTTACCTAACCTTAACCTTAAATTAGTAATACTGCACGGCTAGCAGTCTGAGCCTTCGTTAACAGGAATTGATTGGATTCTTAAAATGTATGGAACTTCCTGTGTGATTTATTGCAAAATCTCCATTTTTATGCTTGATGTGTCTCTTCAGGAAAATACTAGGCGAAACCCTGTATGAAATATGAAATTATCAGGTGTAGACTTTACTGCTATCTCTTGTACTTGTCAGCATTACTTCTATTTCACCCCTGAGGTAAGCCCCAGGGTTTTGGGGACTCAAAAGTTTTTGCCTCAATTTCATTTCCAAAGACCTTCCCTGCTTTTGGTGTGTCTCCGGTGCTTTTGGATAGCACCTTATGTTCACAACTACTGACTTGTTCTCAGTTTTCAATATATTCAAGTACTTTATTTTCTCTTCCTCTTTGATCTTCTGTTTTTTCCCAAGATAATTGACTGCTTATGAACAGTTGTATCAGTTTCTGACAGTGTGCGATTACTTTACCTATGGACAACTCTTCTGATATTTTAGTTTGTTAAAGATGAAATATAGGAAGATAAGAAACCTGTTAATGCCCAATTAGTGTGAACGTGTCACACCTTGGTGGCTTTTCCTTGTTTTGGTGCTTCTTTCCAGGCCGGTGGTGTCTTTAGTTTGTTCAGTGTACACCAGCTTTGGAATATACTGAAGAGGAAGAAGTATGATCACTGTGACCCAGAGAGTAACAGGGGTGCAGACTGAGTGTTCATTTTAGGTATGGTGTTCAGGAAAAGACTCTCAGAAGATACCACTTGGAAACTGAAGGCAGCAGCCCTACCAGAAAGCCAGGCAGGAGTCAGCTTGGCAGTGAGGGACAGATGGAAAAGCCCCAATACTGGCTGTGAGATCCTGCAGCTCCACAAGGGCAAAGCTGAAGAAGGGTAGAGCTGGCTGAGGTTTTCAAGGCAGTGATCATTAGTAGGGTGGAGGCCAGCCTCCTGGTGATACTAAGCAGAATGATAGCAGAATGACTAACTGACTTCTCTATGGAAAAAGAAAATGGATGGAGGCAAAAATGGAAGTTAGGCACTTAAGAAGCAGAGAGAAAATGGATTGAAATGTGTTATTGGAGGTACTATGCGGACATTTTAGCTGCACTGGTGGTAGTTAAGTGGGTAGAGAAGGAGAAAATATAAGGCCATCCCTAGTGGTTTGGTTTGATCAATAAGGGTACAGTTGTATCACTTGATGGGATAGTGGAGCTTCTCTCCTTTGCAGAACAGAAATCTATAGCTTAGAATAGTAAAGTAACATCTTCAAGGCTGGCTTCTCCTTTACCCTGCCCCTTCAAGTCACAGGGAACACCGCAGGTTCCAGTTGGATATAGTTTGTTCCCAAGGACTCATGCTTTGAAGGCTTGGTCCTCACTGTGGCAGTGCACTGGAAGGTGAGACCTTCATAGGATAGAGCCTTTCAGGAGAATCCTTCCGCCTAGAGATTAGCTCTCAAGAGGAGGTTGTTCTAAGTGGGACTCCAGCCTTGCTCCCAGGCTTGTGTTACATTGCATTTCTCAGACATTCTCCTTGGTCTTTGAAAGAACAATCAAGCACATTTTTTTTTTTTTAACATTTGCAGAAGAATTCAGAGATCTGCCTGCAACTGTTAAATGCAGAGAATAAGCTTGCTGGGTGAAAGGTTGCCCTGAAATTACCATTCCTACCACACTTAAATACCCCTTGTCCCAGGCTGTCTTTGAACTCAATAATCTGCCTGTCTCTGTATGCATAAACAAGAAACTGAGTTGGGTGGCATCTTGCCCTGTGACCACCAAGCTGGTTCATAGTGCAGCTCCCTCTGTTCTTTTAGATAACTGAAGCTTGTTATATAATTCATATTGCATCCATAAATTTTGTATAGTTGAGAAATTATATAGTCCTGAACCCATTTTTTCAGAATTCTTTCCCACAGCTTAAGTGCTGGCCTGAAGGTCTCAGCATTTACCATTTTGCTGAGGCCTAGACACACCCTTGACTCCTAGACTTGTGCTGTTCCTAGTTATCATGGAGCCATTACCCTTGGCAAGGAGAACATTCCCCATAACCTTGGCAGGGAGAATATTTCCTGAAGGAGGAACATGAAGTAAAATATGTGTGTGTGTATTAATAAGCCTTATGCCCACATCAACCACTGTCACTTGTGGAGGCTCACACCCTGCTGGCTCTGTTTCAGAGGTGGTGACCATGTCATACCATTCCTACCACGGCCATGCAGGACTGGGTAGATTTAACTCTTTATTTTAGAATGAAAATAGTTTTTATAACGTGGAGAAAGTAATGAATCTAGAATGGATACAATCACTCAGTATCTGTTGAAGATATTCTGGAAATGTCTGTCATGTATAATGAGCACTTGCAAGAATTTTCTGCTTGGTTGGGCTTAATGGATGAGCCCCAATTTGAAACCTCTAGGAAGAGGAATAAACAATGGCTCAGAGTCCCATTGCTATTGTGTTCCATTGTTTGAATTTTTGCTAAGTTGAGCATGTTTATGTTTCAGTGGTTTTTCTGGGTTTGGGCAGTTTTTATTCCAGAAGGACAATAAAATTAATAAGTCATGTAGTACTGGACTTTTGGTTCAAGAAAAATTTTGGAATTTTTCTGTTCAAGCAGGCAAATGATTGCTTATATAACGATTTTAATATTCTTAGAAACACAGCAAAATTAACATATTTTAGTATGTATTTAAAGTACAGACAGACTGATGTGCTTTATATAGAAATCTAAAATTTTATCTGGTCTAAACATGCATGTGTTACTGTCCTAGCACTGTAAAGCACTAGAAGGCAGCATCAGAATTCAAAAGTCAGATTACCAGAATAAGATTTTTATGACCTTTATCATCTTTGTATATATGTGAAATCAACAAACAGTTTAAAATATATGATATTTTAGTATATTTAAAAATCCTCAGTTACTAATCCCTATTCATAAAATAAATTTCTGGAAGGATCTTGTAGATCAAAGTTAGCCTGCTTCTAAAATTATTTTTCCACTTTACAATCCAACATCAAATCTCTCTTCTAACACTTCAAAAATGGTTCTGGTTACCTAAAGCTCTTTCTTAAATACCAGGCTAATCCTTTTCTTCAAGGAGCTTGCCTTTCTGGTTCCAGCTGTATCCTTTGTGGTCTCAGCATATGCTTAAATATTTCATATGTTATCAAGATTTATTTATGAAGACTTACCTAGAAGAGTTAATCCTGAGAATAGTTCTACTTCGAAGCATAATGAAATAGTTATTTCCAGTTACTTCCCCTTTCATATTTATGTGTGTTCATGTGTGTATGTTCAGACTGATTGAAGTCTCATTTGTTGTATGTGTGTGTACATGCATAATTTTGTGTGTTACACACTAAAGTTTACATTGATTTTCATTCATTCTTCCCTCCAGGGTGTTTACTGGATATTATTTATTCCTTTTATAACCACAACACTGTTCCTTTCTTAGTAGACTCACAATAAATATTTATCATTTGAATACAATATATAAAATCTTATTCTAGTGCTGGCCTTCAGATGAGGGCCTTCACTATTAGGTCCTTTTAAAAGCTGTCCTCAGAACATCTGAGATTTGTTGGTCACTAAAATTATCACTGAAAGGTTAGATTACATAAGAGATCATGTAACTTCTTAGAACAGCGGTCATCAGAAAGCATTTTGTTTTGAACAGTAATGTTCAAAAAGTTTCAGAAAGTAACATTAAAAAGATTCTTTGTAGCACCTCATATTGTATGTGAAAATTTTAAACTGAATTTCAACATGCAAATAGAACCATGTACATACCCTAAGCTTACATACAGCTAGATAAATTCTTCCAAAAACAGTGGCCCTAGAACCACCTCATTGATCAGGATGAAGAGCCTGGCTTCTGCATATTCTCTTCTGTTACTGTGGTATCCAGATGATCTAGCTCTCCACAGATTAGTTTTACCCGCTTTGAAATATGTATAAATTGAATCACATAGTAAGTATGCTGTTGTGTCTGGTTTCTTTCAATATCTTTATGTACTTGAAGTTTATTTCTGGTTTTTGTAGCTGAGGTTACTGTAATTGCTATGCACTATTCTCTTGTATGGCTGTTTCACAATTTTTATTTCTTCTTGTTGATAGACATTTTAGATTGTTGCTAGTTTTCACCACTAGAAACAATGCATGAAATTCCCTGTGCTTGTATAAACTTTCCAGAGTTATACCAGTGCATGGCATTATAGGATTCAGGGCCTCTGTTTGTTTCATTCTGGGAGCCTCAGCTCAAGAGGTTTCTATGTGTTTGAGTTCTACTGTACACTTTAAAGTGTGCTTAATGTTGGAGATATGTTTTACAGCAATTCATATGGGCTGAAATACACATTTAAAAATGTAAAACCTAAAAAAGATATAATTTAATTTTAAACAAATTAGAACATCTATTTTTTTAATTCCAGATTTTTTTTTCTTTTTGATACAAAAAAGTTAATGGGAACTATATTATCTTGTAGCTATTATATCATAGAGGAAAAGGTCTGTAACAGAGGGGGAAAATCCTAAGAGTTCATGGAAATTTAAGTTATTACAGTCTACTCTCTGTCTCATATATATTACTAAAAAATACTTTTTTTTCTTTTTTGAAACATGTTTCTATGTAGCCAAGGATGACTTTAGATTTCTGATTCTCCTGCCTCTACCCCCTGAGTACTGGGAATTTAGTCATTTATGTCGTGTTGGAGATTGGACCCAAGACTTGTCTAGTGCATACTAGGTAGGCATGTGGCTAGCTTAGCCATGTTCTAGTCTAAAACATGCTACTCTTGAGTTTCAACAAAGAAAACATTCAGACATCTAGATTTTCTTTCTATTGTTTCCCATTACAAGGGTCTTTATATTATGTCTGATACGTTACAGACAGTAGATTGTATATTTGGGATTCTGTAGTGAATGGTAAGTATTAATCTATAACTTATTAATAATCTGGTAAAATGTTAATATTCTATAAGGATCAATACTTCAACAATTATAATTGCTTGCTAATCTCAGTTTACCTTTTGAGGGTATATTATGTCCTTCTGATGTTGTGGTTTCTTTAAAAAACTTATTTTTTTAGACTGGATTCATTCAGTCATTCTGCTTGGTCTTAAACTATGTAGACTGGCCTCTACATCACAGAGATAGAGCTGTCTCCATTTCCACAGTGCTCAGTTTAAGGATGTGTATCATGCTCGTCCCATGATTCTTTTAAAGAACAAGTATGCTGATTTGGCATATTTTTGAATGTTATGTCTAGTGTTTGTAAAGTATTTTAGTGTACTGCAGAAGACCAGTGAGTAATTCTAGTTTGCCCTGCAAATCCTTGACCATGCATGTATGAAAGAAGGTGTTAGTTAAAGTGTATGTTTGAAGCTGATGAATGACAACCATTGTTTTTCCTTTCCTTGTTCAGTTGCACCGAAGAGCTTCTGTCTGGCTGAGAACAGTGCCTGTTTGATGATTTTCGGGAAAATGCTCTACCTGGATTGTTTCTTAGTTTCTGTCTCTCTTAGATGAGGTTGTGGGTCTAAGCTGGCCCCACTCTAGCTAACATCTGGGCATATATCTATATATTAGTGGAGGTGATTGGGTGCATATTGAAGCAGAGGCTTTGTTTGCTATTAAGGAGCAACTTAGGCGGGCCTCTGTCTTTTCTTCTTCCTTGTAAGAGAAGGGAGATGTCTCAGAAAGAGAATAACTTTTAGCCCTGGTGTGAACTGCATGACTGGAGCTGAAAAGAACCCAGGGAGAGAGGGATTTGCTGAGTCATGGTGTTGGACTTGGTGTTCTAAGCAGTATAATTCTGATGAATAGTGTCTCAGGACCCTTTTGTAAAATGATGCATTCTGACATCCAGTGACCTTTTAAACTAATATTTCTATTATGTAATTCAGTTGCTTCTGTTTCCTGAAAGTAATCACATTAGCTTGTACTGAGGTAGATAATGATTTTGTTAGCAATTTCCTTTGTGGTAAGTGTTTTTACAGTAATTTAGTTTGAAGGAAGAATCGTTTATACAAATAAAACCCAGGGAACTCACCTGTACTGCACTGGGATCAAGAATAAAAATGTAGCCGTTGACCTGTGGGACAATACTCTTGATCTGAAAACAAATGACCACATTGACTAGATTTATTTTTGGGAAAGCTTATTGCCATTTAAAGATCATGAAGTACATATACACACCCACTTACCCACATACCCCGTTGCTAGTTCTTTCTCATTCAAAGATGGATTTCTTTGTTCATAAAATAAGGACAGTAATCCTTCATAGAATTGATGACATTATAACAAAAATTAGCCGTAGTGTTTAAAAACATGACAGTAAATGAAGAGCAGTAGTTTTCCTTTCTTTGAATTCGTGCTGTGAGATCTTATGATGACTTAATTATTAACATAAATAGAATTGATCAGTGTAACTTCTTAAGTGGTTTTTATCACAGATGATTGTTTGATTCATGGCCTATCCATTAATTCTTTTCACCCAGTCAATTGATGAGTCATAATACCTGGCTCCAATTATCTCTGAAACCAATTTACTGGACCAGGAGCTTGATGGTGTAGATGAATGTAGTTTTTTCTAAATGATTTTCTAAAAATTAATAGTCATGAAAGAAGATGGAGGTAAATGTGATAAAAAGAGAGTTGACAACAATTCTTTGTGCACTTTGCTTCTTTCTTCTATCATGCAGAGTGTGCTGACATCACCAGTTGTTTTACCCCTTAACTCTGTGTACTTAGCTCAACAGCTATCTTCTCTGCCTCTGTCTCTTGATTACAGAACTCTGTCTTGTATGTCACAACTTGGGACTTGGCTACTCTACAAAGGCTTCTGATTGCTTCTACCTTTTCCCCACCTTTTTTGGTTTGTTGTTTCACCTACTTAACACAGCACAGGCTGCCCTGTAGTGTATACATCCTGTGTATGTATGTCTCAAATCTCCAGCTAGATTATGTTTGGCAGTGATTTTTTCTAACCCAGCATGTCCCTTTCCATGGCAGGACTGTACTGAGTGTTTGCTGGTGCAGTAACTACTTCTCTGCTTTGGCAACAAAGCACAATCTGCTTGCAGTGGTGCTTGGTATTGAGATTTCTCTTTCTTCCTCCTGCCACACTTGTTCCTTCTGCTCCTCCTCCTTTTCCTCCAGGTTTGCTATCTGTGTGTGACAAAGCTAGGTGTGTTGGGTATGTTGGTGTCTTGTCTGCCTTGAGGTCACAACAGCTTCCAGAAATTGGCTCCCACCTTCTGTTTTGCTTTAAGGGTGTGTCCTTCCTGTTGCTTTGCTGTGTGCACATGCAGTTTGTACTGAGGTAGCTGGCTTCTGAGCTCCTTCTCCTGTCCCTGCTTTCCTCACTCTGGGGAGGGCTGGGTTATAGGAGGTGTGTTCCCAATACCTCTCTTCACATGTGGGTTCTGAGTGTCTGAGCTCCAGGCCTCAGGTTTGTAGACAAGGGCTTTTATGCACTGAACCATCCCCTTGACCCTAGTTTTGCCATTTCTTTGGGTGTTTTAGGTAACTAAGACAGACACTTTAGGTTTGACTATTTTGAGGTCATAATTGTTTGTGCTGAATGTCTGGTTCATTCCCATTTCTCTACCTACTTTTTGTCCATTCATCCATCCATCCATCCATCCATCCATCCATCCATCCATCCATCCATCCATCCATCCGTCCATCTGTCCACCCATCCTTCCAACCATCTATATATTTTATATTATGCCCTAATTTAGTGCTACATAGTCATGGGAAACAAAAAAAATCATAATCGAAAAATGATTATCCTGTAATGACCATTGGATATTCCTAAATAACACTAATAATTTTCTACACTGTTACTATTCACCAGATCATAGCAAAATCAAATGTCCATTTGAAGTGAGTGGGACAACCAGCCTTGAGTACAGATGGGGCTGGTGATCTGAAGTTGTCAACATTTTTGCTTATTTATTTGTTATTGCCAAGTCAAGGCTTGTTTTGGTAGTCTACTTAAACGTACCACTTTCAGAGACTGTTCATCCAAAATTCTGAAAAGAGAACTGAAGAACACAGTTTCGAAGAAATTCACCAACTTGAAAGATCAGCAGCGTAAGACGATTTGACTTTTAGTGACATGAATGTAGTGGGTAGGTATGATGTTTAAAATGGGAGTGTTTGGCTTGATGGTGATAAGTGAAGAAATAGCTTTCCTTAAACAAGATAATCCTTCAGAATCATGCAGGGTCTGTCCTGTGTGTGTAGGTATGAAAAGGGCATATTAGGAATTCAGAAATTTGAAAATGCTTTTGAAATTGAATTGCTCATGTAGATAAGATAAACCACGGAAGATTCATTGTAAAAAAAAGAATATTTGAATTGAAACATAGTACTGATAAGTCCTCCTTAAAACCAAGGGCATTTCAAAACTAAAAAATACAGCTCAGACTGAAAAATGGATCACATCTTATTCTAAAACCGTCTAAAGCATTTCAAAACATACCATTTTCTTATCATATACTTACTTTAGAAATAAAACAAAATTATTAGATGTTTTAGAAATAAAACATTGTACAGTTATATATGATTCCCTTTATGATAAAATTCAAACAAGAATTGTACATTTATTTTCAAAGTACGATGGTCTTGGCTTCCTTTAGAACAATCACAGATATTTTTCATTTGTTGTATGTCATTTTAGATACTAACTTTTTATGTATCTATTAAGTATCTGTCATCTGTGTACTACCTACAGTCATCTATCTATTATTCATTATTGATCTATGTATATATGTTTGTATCTATTTCTACCCTCTGTCTCTAAATAGAGATATATAATTTCTGTTTTTTGTAGGGATCAAATTGTTCTTACTTTTATATATACCTTTAAAAAATTAACAGTAGAGGTTACCAAACACAGGATATATTAAATGGCTCCTCTTGCTGTTTATCTATTCTTCTAATATTGCTATTTCTCCATTCTTCTAATTCTTATCTAATCTCTTAAAGTATTTTCTTTGTGATGGAAATTTAACTCCTTTCCATTATTACTGATATAAACAGCATTTTAGTAAACATTCTTGAATGTTTTCTTCATAGTCATGTGTGAGTAAGTTCTAGATATATAAGTGCAATTAAAAGTGTATGCAGATTTTAATGGGTATTAGTAGTGTTGCTTTTTGATAAACTATTATTTTATGTACTGCTCAATGTTATATAAGGGTATCAGGAAACTATTTAAATGTTGTGGGCTGGAAATATATAACCCAGTAGTAGAGCTTTTGCCTAGCATGTGAGTACATAGATTTTGTCATCAGTTAATACACACACACACACACACACACACACGGGGGGGGGGGAGGAAGAGAAAGAAAGAATAAATGAATAGACTTTGTAAATTCATTTGTAAAATATAAGAATATATTGATTTTTATCTGTATTTAAGTGTTTTTTTTTTTGTTTTTTGTTTTTGTTTTTTTGGGTTTTTTTTGTGGTGTTGGACATCCCTTTTTGGTTTTCTTTATATATTTCATGTATGAATCACATGTTAATCATTGTACCTGTTTTGGTGTGTGTCTGTTTGCTTTGTATCATGTTGTGAGACAGGGTCTGGCTGTGTAAGCATGGTCAGCCTTGATCTTGCTGTTAGACCAGTCTAGCCTCACATCTGCCTATGCCTGAGAGCACTGGGACTGTTGCTTGTGCTGCCTGCTCAGTTGAACATTTACTTACTCCTACTGTGACACGTGTGTGTATTATTAGCTGTTCATCTGTTATTTGTGCTGTAAATATTTCTCTTGAGTTAATTATTGCAGGTTGTTTTCCATGGTTCTTAGAGGAATCTTTCATTTTGTAGATTCTGGCCCCTTCATCTTTTTGAATAATTTAATAAACTATTAGGTTAGAGTTGTAAGTCTCCGGTGTCGGGTGTTAGTCCACTTAATGTGTTTCCTTTGGGAAATCTTTTTCTTCCTTATTTAAAACATAAGCTGGCCCTCTTTCCTCACTCCCATGTGAACCTTTTCTTTTCTGGCCCTTTCCCTTCTCTTCTACTCTGTTTTATGCACTTGGTTGATGGCTGCTGTTTTTCTACTTCCCTTTTCTGTATTTCCTTTAATGTTTTTGTTTTTTCTTTTGGAAATCATGTACTCCCGTTTCTGTTTTAATGTGATTTTGCACTTCTGTTACTTTCTGAATTTTAATCAACTCTTGTCTTTTTTCTTCCTTTTCTTCCCTCTCTCCCTCCTTCCCTCCCTCCCTCCCCCCTCCCTCCCTTCCTTCCTCTTTATTTGGCTTGTGGATATTTTAGTTTTGAATGTTATTGTTTTGTTCCAACTTATATTTTTGGTGAATTCAGTATTTATCAGCTCACTTACTTGAGCTTTCACTTTACTGTTTATATTATGGTTTATTGTTTGGTTGGTGATTTCATTTTTTTCCCAGCCAGGGAGGTTGTGACATTTCTAGTTTAAATTTTCCATATTCTTTTTGCTGTATATGAACAGGATGGCTTTGGCCTCCTTACTGGATAGCATGGCTTTGCTCTTCCCTTACTGGATGACACAACTTTTGAATAGCCATATGCTTGTTCCTTTTTAAAGTTCTTTTTGCCCTACATATTTTTTCTTTACATTTGTAATGTATGATTTCTAAAGAAATTTCTCTTCCCATCTAAGTACTAACCAGGCCTAATCCTGCTTAGCTTGGGAGTTGAGGGAAAGAGGGAGGGGTGGAAAAGAGGGATTAGAGGGAGGAAAAGGAAGAGAGAAAGTGATGGAATTATTTTTAATTTAATTTCAAATAATAAAATTTAAAGTAACCAATTTAAAAATTGTCCTCTTACTTACACATTTTCTCCATTCCATAGTGATGTTGTTTGAGGTTGTATTGCTAGGTCATCCAGGCCTTTCCAAGTCCCTTCTTCTGATCTAACTGCTTAATCTTTAGTGGCTCATGCCTTCTCTTTCTAGAAGTGGCTTTAGACTGTGTCATGGCACGCTGTCACCTTCTCTCTTTAGGGTTGTTTCTTCTGAACATCCCTACCTCTTCTTGAAGGCAGTGATAGGTATTTGAAGAAGAAGACTGATTTTGGTATTTGCTTTTGTACTTAGAAGCAAGCTGTTGTTTGGACGGTCCCTGTGTTCCAGTCAATGTTGCTTTATCCTCTACTGATTGAGAAAGGTTTGAATTTATGTCAGCTCTTGCCTAGGAAGCCCAAAGTCCACCCTATCAGTGTGTACTTGTCACGTAATGTGCTACAGGAGCATAAGTGTCCTCTGTTTTGCTTATTAATGAAATTCAAATTCTGATATATGTGACTGTATATGACAGCTTCACAATAGATGAGAAAGTATCTAACTCTCCATACACTTTACAAGACACATTCTGAGCAGCTTAAAAAAGAAGGGCTTCTACAATCTTACCAAGGCCTTATTAATGTAAAATTCAAATGACTTTGTCTCCCTGTTATTAATGGCTAGTGTCCTTGTGTGTTTTCTGGAGCTAAGCAATAAAACAATGATCTCCCTTTTAAGAATGATGCACTGTTGGCTGTTGTTATATCTGTGACAACTATGCATGGTTAGTGAGTCCAAGGGCATGGTGAAGTTTCTTGTGGAATGATTGCTTTCAAATGTGATACACCAGTTATTTTGCTGGTTAATGTCAAGTAAATATCGACATCACTTCCCAAGATATGCAGATGCACGATATACCTATTTGTCTTGCCTCTCTGCGTTATGAACTTCCCACCCATGGGCATGTACATATATTATACATGGTATCCAGTGGTTACCTTAAGATATAGCACACCTGACCTTTATAAAACTCATTCAGAGTCCTGCCTTATTTTGGATTATTATTACAGAACCTGTTTCTAGAAGAACCTGTTTTTTAGAAACTGTGGTCTCTAAAATAATTCCTGTACCAATAAGGAGCCAGGAGGGATAGTTACTGTCCTACTAGGGAAAACTGCACATAATCACATGCATGCGTTTCTAATCATGATTTGGAGAGCCAGCCCCCATTCTCGCTGCTGTGGATTTCTCAATAGCACGTCATGATTGCAGTGATATTGTTTAAATTATGTTTCCCATATTACATCAGTTTTGAAGCATCTTTAATATTTCTTTGTAACCTGCAGCTGAGTTGAAAAGAACTCCAGCTGCATTGACAATTTTCAAAATAACTTTTAAGTGCTTCTGGAGGACTCCCTGAGAGATGTATTTTTATGGTACTCTTAAAACAAACAAACAGACAAACAAACAAACAAACAACTCAGAGGAATCCCGAGTAAGACTGGATTGTTTTACTTTCATTAGTTCTATTGTGACATAGTGGACATGAATGGCCTTGGCAGTTATCTTTTATCTTTTCCAGCCTAATGACAAAAAAACCCAAAACAAACAAACACAAAACAAAACAAACAAAAACCTGTAGTATTGTGGCTGGTTCCTGTCTATCACAGGTTTATTAACCTGATTCATATATTTGTTATTTTATTGCTCTCCAAAAATAGGTGGTTAGCTGTACAGATAAACCCTCATCTTCACAATGAAACTAAAAATCCTTTGAAAAATTAAAATTAAGAACAACTTTGAAGAAGTCTGAATATTCTAACATTCTCCATGTTTGGAGTTCACATTTGTTATCTCAAGCAATGACTGCTCTCTTTCTGCCTGTGCATTTATTCTTGCTTAACTGTGCTCTGAGGTAACATAAACTTCTGAATTAATAACACGCAGCGAGTTTACTTCCTTGCTTCTAACTTACCTCAGAAATCTGTTTAAAATGTTTTTCTTCTTCATCCAGAAGCAGCATGTTTGTGGGTTAAAATGTTCTGTGTTGACTTGTTTGTTGACTCCTATGTTGTATGTTTCCAAATGTTGTGGAGATATCCCAGTCTTCTGGAACGTCATCAAGTAGACGGATTCAGGTGCAGTTGTGCTGCAGATGGGCAGTGAGGGTGTGAAGTCATCCTAGCAAAGCCTTGGAAACCATTTCTTTACAGTGACACATTTACACAAATCTTGAACATCTAGTTTGAATGAAGGCCCTCCCAAAGAAGGTTACACGAAGCATTCAGTTGAGGACATACTCTGTTTTCCATAAGATTTAAGAGGGAGTATTGGTCAGATTTATTCTTTGTATTAGTTGCATTTGAATGATGACTCTTTAAAAAGCATGATATATAAAATATTGAAAGTACTAGCTCAGGGTATGTTATACTGTATTTCATTGCACCAGTGCCTGTTTGTGCTATATGTAGTTACTCAATTGACCACATCCAGGATGCCTACTGGACTAGAAGTGCCCGACTGACGTTGTACTGTGTATAACTGTGCAGTATTTAAATAGAACAATTTTGTTGCAGATTTTTTTTTTAAGATCCAGTTATAGTAGCCGGGCGGTGGTGGCGCACGCCTTTAATCCCAGCACTTGGGAGGCAGAGGCAGGCGGATTTCTGAGTTCGAGAGTTCGATACTAGCCTGGTCTACAGAGTGAGTTCCAGGACAGTCAGGGCTACACGGAGAAACCCTGTCTCCAAAAACCAACCAAACAAACAAAAAAAAAAAAGATCCAGTTATAGCATTTCTAAATCACAATTTAACTTAGTTTTGTTAAATACTATTTTATAGTATTTTTGACATTTTCTGAATATTCATAGTATTCCTTTTTATTTTCCAGTAAGGAATTAAAGTAAGTTTGGTAGCCAATGTAATGTTACTTCTCTTCCTTCATTTCACTCTATCTGATGAATCATTGATAATTGTTACTTTATAGATAAGAGATGTTATTTCAAAAAATTGCACAGCTGGTAATTGAATGCAGAACCTATTGCCTGTTAGTCAGGTACTTTACCACTGAGCTACTTCCTCAGCCATGTATGTATGTATATATATATATATATATATATATATATATATATATATATATATATCAACCTGTAGCCTACCAGAAGCCCATATGAAGCTGAGAATATATATAAATGTAGCCCAACAGAAAGTTATCAATGTACACAAAACATTTTTGTGTTTTGTATCCTTTGCAGCTGTTAAGCATGAACTTTATAGATGACACCATTAATACAGTGTCAAAAGGTTGGTCATGCCTTCTGGCAGTGAGACATTGCATCCCCAGTATTTTCAAATTTAGTATATGAAAATGAACAAATTATAAATAATATTTTGAATGCTTCGAGGAAATTAAGTTAGTATGTACTAGTTCAATATTATAGGCATCATTTGTCTTTCTCACACAAATATGATTTGTGTTTATGGAGAAAGACTATTTTAAGACAAAACAGAGAAATGTGCTCTTCAGAAGAAAATAAAAATAGAGATTAAAATTGTGCCTTCAGAATTCAAGGATCAGATGACCTCTTTTTAAACTCATCCTCAGGGTTGCCCAACATAGTCTGTAAACCTGTGACTCTTCCTGTGTGCTTGGTGCACTTATTCAAAGTTTGAAACTCTCAGAGGACCCAGAATGCTACAAGAGACACTGGGTTCAGGAGAGAGCATTTCATAACCTATGTAATAAGAATCAGAAAGTTCCTATGTGTGGGAAGCCTCAGTAGAAAAAGGGCAAGTTTCAAGAAACTAAAGTCATTGTGAATTCAACATTGTTGATGACTAAGTAGCCTATGAGTAAGATTAAAGAAAAAATGATAGTATTTTACCAATTTCTGTGTGTGGGATAACCTTTCTAAATTTTCAGAAATCATTTCATTTAGACAACACTATGTAGTTGTCTGTGTATAATTTAATATTATCAGACCCTTGCATCACTGTTAATATCTACTACCTTAAGTATTCATCCTACCCCCACAGTCCAGAAAATAGTCATTTTTCTCATTTTATGTCTTCCAAGTATTGTCATTTTGGTATTAACAATTTGAATTGTTGATCAAAAATGTGATCAAAAATCAAAACTAATTTAATCTTGCGTAGTTACAGGATAGGACAGGAACATTCTCCCATACACTTGTGGCCATGTTTTCACCATTAAGATTAACAAGAATTCTCCATATTGTCCAACTCTTTGGGCTTTAGTTTTCACTGACAATGTCTTATCATTTGTGTTCCTCCCTCCTTGCCAGCATCAGGACCAAGATTCACAAGGCTCTTACAATGCCTTAGAGGTCTTATAAGTTAAAAATCCAATGCTGTGTATCTGATGGAGAAGAAGACAAGTGAGTCTCTTCTAGTGGATCTTCCCTTCCTGAAAAGGCAAAACAGTTGACTGTGGATGTTCTCAGAAACCATATGTATTAAGCCCCTTCTCTGTCCTCTGTCATCCTTCTGTACGGACCAGCCTTGCTCTTGTCCCCTCTCTGCCTTCCCTCCCCTTCTCCTTTGTACTTTGCCCTTGATTTATGCTATTCTATTTTCAAGAAATATAAATTGGTTTTTTAAATTGAAAATGAAATAAGATTGCTTTTGAAGTATTTCTTCAACATTTGAGGTATTTCTTCCGTACTATACTGTAGGCAGTTTGCACATCAGTATTGTCTCTATGAGCTCGGTACTGTACAACAGCTTTCCTGACTGACTTAATGTTCACCCACTTGCACAATTACACACTTCTACTTCTCCCCTGCCTATGGTAATGACCATTCCACCTTCTGCTCTATGACTGACTGCATTCGATGCCTAGTGTCAGAGGAGTCGTGAAACCTCATTGTTTCTGGGTCTGGCTCCTTTATTTAGAACAATATCTTTCAGGTTCTTCCACATTGTGGCATGTGCTAGGGTTTCCTCTTGTTTTAGTGTTGAATAATAGTTCCACATATTTATTTACCACATTTTCTTTATCCATTCATCTGATAGACATTTAAGTCGATTTTGTATCTGTGCTATTATGAGTAATGCTTCAGAGAATATGCATATGAATAGTTAATTATGCATCTCATTTCAGTTATTTTGGGCAACTATCTAGAGATGACATTGTTACCAGAAATGGTAATCTTTGAAAAATAGCTTTCTTGGGAAAC